TGCTGAGATCCTTTTCCCCCTTTCCCCCCTAAGGCTTTTCCCCCCCTGAGAGCTTCTCCCTTTTCCTTCCTAAATCTTTTCCCCCCTTTCTTTGTTGGGCTTTCCCAAGTCCTTTTCTCCCAGATCTTCTCCATTTCCTCCCTAAGATCTTCCCCCCCCCCCCCCTTTCCTCCTTAAGATCTTTCCCACCCTTTCCCTGTTGAGATCCTTTCACCCCTTTCCCTCCCAAGGCTTCTCGCTTTTCCTTCCTAAGATCTTTTCCCCCCTTTCCCTGTTGGCCTTTTTTCCCCAGATCTTCTCCCTTTCCTCCCTAAGATCTTTTCCACGCCTTTCCCTGTTGAGATCATTTCTCCCCTTTCCTCCCTAAGATCTTTCCCCCCCCCCCAGTTCCTTGTTGAGATCATTTATTTCCACCCTTTTCCTTCTAAGGCCTTTTCCCTTTTCCTCCCAAAGATCTTTCCCCCCCTTTCCTCCCTAAGTCCTTTCCCTGAGTTCGTCTCCCTTTGCCTCCCTAAGATCTTTTCCCCCCTTTCCCGCTTAAGATCCTTTCCCCCGTTTCCCCCCTAAGGCCTTTTCCCCCCAAGATCTCCACCCTTCTCTTCCCAAAGTCTTTTTCCCCCTTTCCCGATTGAGATCCTGTCCCCCGATTGCCCCTTAGGGCCTGTTCCCCCCGAGAAAGATATCCCTTTTCCTCCCAAAGATCTTTTCCCCCCTTTCCCCCTTAAGGCATTTTTTCCCCAGATCTTCTCCCTTTCCTCCCTGAGATCTTTCCCCCCCTTTCGCTGTTGAGATCCTTTCCCCCTTTCCCCCCTTCATTTCCTTCACCAGCATGGGCAACATCACCAGCATCACTTGCATCATCCGCATCCTTGGCAGGCGCTGATGCGGATGATGCAGGTGATGCTGGCGATGTGCCGCTGGAGCTGCTAAGGATGCGAAAGCGCACCCGGGGGGAATCGAACATTTCCATCACGAGCCTGTGCTCGGGCAAGAACAGTTCCAAGCCCGAGCTGCTGGTAGTGCACCTGGGCAATCCTGTTGCCAGCACAGGAATGGGTGGAGCAATCCTGTTGCCAGCGCAGGATTGAAGGGGCAATCCTGTTGCCAGCACAGGATTGACGAGGGCAATCCTGTGCCCAACGCAGGATTGACGAGGGCAATCCTGTGCCCAACGCAGGACTGACGGCAAAGCGAGTAATGGTGAAAAAAACACTCTGTCAGCGGCTTGGCGAGAAGCAGGCCGCTGACGGACCTTCGGCGTTGTTGAGATCCTTTCCCTCCTTTCCTTCCTAAGGCCTTTCCCCCCGCTGAGATCTTCTCCCTACTCCTCTTTAAGATCCTTTGCCTCCTTTCCCCGTTGAGATCCTTTCCCTTCTTCCCTTTAAGGCCTTTCCAGATCTTTTCCCTTTTCCTTCCTAAGATTGTTTCCCCCCTTTTCCTGTTGCGATCCTTCCCACCCTTTCCCGCCTAAGGCCTTTCCCCCCTGAGAGCTTCTCCCTTTTCCTTCCTTAGATCTTTCCCCCCTTTCCCTGTTGGCCTTTTTTCTCCCAGATCTTCTCCCTTTCCTCGCTAAGATCTTTTCCACCCCTTCCCTGTTGAGATCATTTCTCCCCTTCCCCCTCTAAGGCCTTTGTCCCCAGATCTTCTCCCTTTTCCTCCCTAAGATCTTTCCCCCCCCTTTCCCTGCTGAGATCCCTTTCCCCCTTTCCCTCCTAAGGCCTTTCCCCCCTGAGAGCTTCTCCCTTTGAGATCCTTTCCCCCCTTTCCCTCCCAAGGACTTTCCCCCCCCTGAGAGCTTCTCCCTTTTCCTTCCTAAGATCTTTTCCCCCCTTTCCCTGTTGGGCTTTCCACCCTAAGTCCTTTTCTCCCAGATCTTCTCCCTTTCCTCCCTAAGATCTTCCCCCCCCTTCTAAGATTGTTTCCCCCTTTCCCTGTTGAGATCCTTCCCACCCTTTCCCCCTGAGGCCTTTCCCCCCCTGAGAGCTTCTCCTTCCTTAGATCTTTCCCTCTTCTTTTTTCCCAGATCTTCTCCCTTTCCTCCCTAAGATCTTTTCCACCCCTTTCCCTGTTGAGATCATTTCTCCCCTTTCCCTCCTAAGGCCTTTGCCCCCAGATCTTCTCCCTTTCCTCCCTAAGATCTTTCCCCCCCTTTCCCTGCTCGGATCCTTTCCCCCCTTTCCCCCCTAAGGCCTTTCCCCCCCTGAGATCTTCTCCGATTTCCTCCCTAAGATCTTTTGCCATTTTTCCTTGTTGAGATCCATTCCCCCCTAAGGCCCTTTCTCCCTCTGATTTTTCCGTTTTCCTCCCTACGATGTTTTCCACCCTCTCCCTGTTGAGATCCTTTCCCTCCTTTCCCCCCTAAGGCCTTTTTTGCCCCTGCGATCTTCCCCCTTTTCCTTCCTAAGATCTTTTCCCCCCTTTCCTTGTTGAGATCCTTTCCCGCCCTTTCCCCCCTAAGGCGTTTTCCACCCCCAAGATCTTCTCCCTTTTCCTCCCTAAGATCCTTTGCCCCCTTTCCCTGTTGAGATCCTGTCCCCCCTTTCCCGCCTAAGGCCTTCCCCCCCCTGAGATCTTCTCCTTTTCCCGCGAGATCTTCTCCCTTTTCCTCCCTAGGATCTTCTCCCACCTTTCCCTGTTGAGCTCCTTTCCCCCTTTTCCCCCTAAGGCCTTTTCAGATCTTCTCCCTTTTCCTCCCTAAGATCCTTTGCCCCCTTTCCTTGTTGAGATCCTTTCCCCCTTTCCCCCCTAAGGCCTTTTCCCTGCCTGGGACCTTCTCCCTTTCCTCACTGAGATCTTTCCCCCCCTTTCCCTGTTGAGATCCTTTCCCCCCTTTCCCCCCTGCGGCCTTTCCCCCCGCTGAGATCTTCCCTGTTGAGATCCTTTCCCCCCTTCCCTGTAAGGCCTTTCCAGATCTTCTCCCTTTTCCTTCCTAAGATTGTTTCCCCCCTTTCCCTGTTGAGATCCTTCCCACCCTTTCCCGCCTAAGGCCTTTCCCCCCCCTGAGAGCTTCTGCCTTTTCCTTCCTTAGATCTTTCCCCCCTTTCCGTGTTGGCCTTTTTTCCCGCAGATCTTCTCCCTTTCCTCCCTAAGATCTTTTCCACCCCTTTCCCTGTTGAGATCATTTCTCCCCTTTCCCCCCTAAGGCCTTTGTCCCCAGATCTTCTCCCTTTCCTCCCTAAGATCTTCCCCCCCCCTTTCCCTGCTGAGATCCTTTTCCCCCTTTCCCCCTTTCCCCCCTAAGGCCTTTCCCCCCCTGAGAGCTTCTCCCTTTTCCTTCCGAGGATCTTTTCCCCCCTTTCCCTGTTAGGCTTTCCCCCCTAAGTCCTTTTCTCCCAGATCGTCTCCCTTTCCTCCCTAAGATCTTCCCCCCCCTTTCCTCCTTAAGATCTTTCCCACCCTTTCCCTGTTGAGATCCTTTCCCCCCTTTCCCTCCCAAGGCCTTTCCCCCCCTGAGAGCTTCTCGCTTTTCCTTCCTAAGATCTTTTCCCCCCTTTCCCTGTTGGCCTTTTTTCCCCAGATCTTCTCCCTTTCCTCCCTAAGATCTTTTCCACCCCTTTCCCTGTTGAGATCATTTCTCCCCTTTTTCCCCTAAGGCCCTTTTGCCCCAGATCTTCTGCCTTTCCTCCCGAAGATCTTTCCCCCCCCCTCAGTTCCTTGTTGAGATCATTTATTTCCCCCTTTTTCCTTCTAAGGCCTTTTCCCACCCTCAGTTCTTCTCCCTTTTCCTCCCAAAGATCTTTCCCCCCCTTTCCTCCCTAAGTCCTTTTCCCTGAGTTCGTCTCCCTTTGCCTCCCTAAGATCTTTTCTCTCCTTTCCCGCTTAAGATCCTTTCCCCCGTTTCCCCCCTAAGGCCTTTTCCCCCCAAGATCTCCACCCTTCTCTTCCCAAAGTTTTTTTCCCCCTTTCCCGATTGAGATCCTGTCCCCCGATTGCCCCTTAGGGCCTGTTCCCAGAAAGATTTCCCTTTTCCTCCCAAAGATCTTTTCCCCCCTTTCCCCCTTAAGGCATTTTTTCCTCAGATCTTCTCCCTTTCCTCCCTGAGATCTTTCCCCCCCTTTCGCTGTTGAGATCCTTTCCCCCTTTCCCCCCTTCATTTCCTTCACCAGCATGGGCAACATCCCCAGCATCACTTGCATCATCCGCATCCTTGGCAGGCGCTGATGTGGATGATGCAGGTGATGCTGGCGATGTGCCGCTGGAGCTGCTAAGGATGCGAAAGCGCAAGTGGGGGGAATCGAACACCCCAATGTTTTTGACAAACTGAGTTGCGCAAGCCCGCACAATGAACAGATTTAGTGAAGCGTCTTCGAATCACCGCGTGGTACGTGGACCCCCCCCCCCCGCAACAGTCTGAAATGGTGCCCCTGGGGAGGGGTTAGGGGGTTGTCGGCGGATTTACATCCGTTAAAACAAGAAGAGTAAAGCTCGTAAAGCTCGAAACGAATTACAAGCAAAAGGAAAAGCAATGAATAGCAAAGCTTACACGACGGCCACAGTTTCTGCAAAGCACGCTCGCGCAACTTAGCTCTGTGCAAGATGGCTCTGCGCAGCTTGGCTCTGTGAAAGTTGGGTCTACGCAAGCTACTTTTCGCGAGTGGCTCTGCGCAACTGGCTCTGTGCAAGTTGGCTCTGCACGAGTCTGCTCGGCGCAATGTGCTTTGCACGAACTGCGCCGCGCGATTTCTCACGAAAGTAGTCTGCGCAAGCTGCATTGTTCCAGGCTGCTGCGCGCAAGTTGCTCTCTGCATCTGTACTTAAAAGTTGCGATTTTCCAGCCGGAGCTGCAGGAGCACGCTCCGCGTACTACGTTTGTACTTAAAAGTTGCGATTTTCCAGCCGGAGCTGCGGGGAGCACGCTCCGCATACTACGTCTGTACTTAAAAGTTGCGATTTTCCAGCCGGAGCTGCAGGAGCACGCTCCGCGTACTCGTTTGTACTTAAAAGCTGGAATCGAACCCGCGACCAGGGGATTGCGAAAGCAGACGCGCAAACCACGAGACAACTTCCAAAGGCCGTTTCGCCAGCAAGAAAATCGCACAGCGCCACAGCGAGAGCGCTTCGACACGCACGATCCCCGCAGAGGGTTCATCGGGCTCAAGACAGATTCGCACGGGACCACAGCGAGAGCGATCCGACACGCACGATCCCCGCAGAGGGTTCATCGGGCTCAAGACAGATTCGCACGGGAACGACAAAGCGACCAACAAGCGCTTCGACACGCACGATCTCCGCAGAGGGTTCGCCGCGGTCAAGACAAATTCGCACGGCGCCACAGCGACAGCGCTTCGACACGCACGATCTCCGCAGAGGGTTCGCCGCGGTCAAGACAAATTCGCACGGCGCCACAGCGAGAGCGCTTCGACACGCACGATGTCCGCAGAGGGTTCATCGGGCTCAAGACAGATTCGCACGGGACCACAGCGAGAGCGATCCGACATGCACGATCCCCGCAGAGGGGTGCGTTTCGTAAGCTCCCGTCGGGCCTACCCCCGCCAGAAAAAGAAGAAGAATTAAGAGTCGAGAAGTGAAGGTACACAAAAGAACAGTTAGCTTGTGTTTTTACGATAGTGAAGTAAATCGTGAAGTAACTCTCGAAAAGTTGGCATGAGAAGTTGGCAGGTGAAGTAACTCTCGACAAGTTGGCATGAGAAAAGTTAACCGTGAAGTAACTCTCGAAAAGTTGGCATGAGAAGTTGGCAGGTGAAGTAACTCTCGACAAGTTGGCGTGAGAAATTGTCAGGTGAAGTTTGCAGCCGCTTTTAGAGGAAGAACCCTTCGCAATGCTTCCGGGAAAAACTTAAAAGCTGCCCATCAGGCGGACAATGAGAGAGATGAGCCGCGCAAGCAAGCCGTCTGCCCAGAGAATTGTTAGGGGTCTGAGCTATTGCAGGCAGCCTGCTCTCTGAGGCCGCATCGCCCAGCCAGACCCCGGAGCCCGTCCAGGATCCAAGCCTTGAAATCCGCATCTGAACCCAGGCCGTGCAAAGCGCGAGGTGCCAAAAGACGATGTGCCGGGCTCTCAGCGCTGGCTTGACGTCTCCGATCTCCGAGCGATTTGCTTTTGGCTCAGGCTGCGTGGGCCGACTGGAGGAGGTTGGCGGGCAAAAAAGGCCTCAAGCTCAGCGCCCGGAAGTTTTTGCGTTGCCCGGAATGGCATCGGAATATGTGGCGAGAAAGCAGAGCGGAGGTGGATTGCGAACTGCTCAAGACACGGAACTTGAAACATGTTTGTTTTTCTTTTCTTTTTTCAAAAAAAACAAGCATGAAGCTTGGGTACGTGTCAAAAGAGGGTGACCCCGTAAAACAAATATAAAATCACACTTTCCCTGTGGTGGGCGCCCTCAGGCGAAACTCTCCGACGGTCTCAGCCTCATGGCGCATCGAGATCAACTGGATTCACCCTCCCACCAATTAACATAAAACCTGACAGGGGCATTGCAGGCAGTGTGGACTTATAGATCATGTCAATACACCACAAGAAGTCCCTTGCCCCTTCGATTTCCCGATACAGGTCCTTCAACTCGGTCTTGTCCGGACGGAAGCAGGCTGTGTACGAATGATCCGAGGGGTGCTTCTCCCCGACCAATGGCTGCAACCTCCTCATGATGAAGGACACGCACATGAGTGAGTTTACCGCCCCGATGCATGCGTCTGAGATGTCGCTGGGAGTTGACCCACAAATCATCCAGCGCAAAAGGTTATACTGGTAAGCGCTTTCATCTCTCCTCATTGCATACGCCAGGTTCTTCATCGACGCGCGCAGCTCGTTCTGGTAGGCCAATCCGAGGTCCCAGTTCTTCTGGTAGTCGGCCCTCAGACCCCGTCCTTGGGGGTCAACCTTGGGAGTTCTGATCACGCCCAGCGTGAACACTTTCCCCCAATTCCGATCTCTGAACTTCGCAATTCTTCGATCGTGCCTCTCGAATTCTGCAGTTGTCATGAACTCCTCCGAGTTCCTCCACCTTCTCGACGATGAGGTTCTGGTAGACTCGCCCATGACGAACTCCTTGTAGACTTCCCCAACCGGCGTGTCCTGGTGGAATGCAGCTTTGAAGGATCGTTCTTCATTGTCCTTGCCCACACCTGAGGCGAGATCCCAAATATCTGTGATGGACCTCAGCATATCGGCCCCCTCAATGCAATACTTGGTGACATGAACTTCCCTTTGCTGCAAAATTCTCTCCATCCAAGCATGCATTCTTCGGCAGAGAGAAGTCCGAAAATCTTGCTGAGGAACTCCAGTGCCATCCTCATAGATTGTCCTTCTCCTTTCATCATTCCACGGCATTTCGCAGAGTAATACGCTGAGTGTGCATAAATGACGGGGACACCGATGTCCTCGATCCATTTTGTGCACGTGCCCAGGTCACTGCTCATCTCCATTCTCTTGGGGATCCTTTTGCCCTCCTCGATAGCGTTCCTCACGAGGTTTCCCAAGAATATCGCTGCTTGTCTGGACTTCCCAACTGGCACGCAGAAGAATTCATTTGCATTGACGACGTTCGTATTGGCAGTCATCTTGATGATATTCTCCAGAACCAGGAAAGACCAAAATAGACAGCTGTATATAAAGCCACAGAATGGTCCAAAGTTGTACCCAGCTTCAGCTTGAGGTTCGGGACCTGAGGTTCGGGTCTGGCCCAGCCCCTCGTTGGCGCAGTCGAAGCGGTGCGACTCTCACACGTAGCAGCTTGGTGCTTCCGTGGATTTCCTCGCGCAGTGCAAGCAAGAGCGAGTTTCAATGGTGCCGGTTGAAGGCACTTTGCTCGAGCACGAAAACGCCTGAGGATCACACCCACAATTAATGACGTGTGCAACTGAGTTTCTTTGGTTTCCCGACCAGCACAAGGTCCATGTTCATGGTTTCCATTACACCTCTTAGACAACGAGCTACCAAGTTCAAAGTTCCATGAGACAACTCTCCATGGTTTCTTGATTGGCAGGGGTTTCTTCGCATACCTTCGCTTCAAACCGTAGCGACACCCATCAAACTCATGACTGGTGCCATCATGAACAACCTCATGCAGTCTATCGTCCTTCCAATAATCGCAACTTCCAGGCAACTCAAACAAAATCGCAGCGCGTTTCGTCATGGCATGCCGTTTGATTTCAACGAATCGTCCAAACAATTTCCAAAATTCCCTCTGTTTGGCCTCGATTTTCTCTGCGGTATCAATTCCGCGAGTCTTGTTGAGGCGTGCCCATGATGATCCCCCCGTGCATGGCCCGGCGAAGAACAACAAATCGGAAGGTTTAGTAAGCACATGTCTAGCGATTCTCCCCCCGTACTCGCTCATTAAGTCATCCACCAAAGTGATGGTCACGACCTGCGGCCCCGCATGACGGGCAAGGGTAGTGAACCAATTACGAGGCTCGGAACATGCCAACAGCACGATGGGTCGAGACAAGTCAACGCTATACAAGGCTATACAAGGTGACGATTGTGCGAGTTCTCATACCAGGAAGCGAGACATGCAACGGAGCGCGAAGCACACCACCGTCATGTTTAACCATCGCGAGTTCAAAGCCCGGCGCTAACTGTGGTTTGTGCTTCACCGCGATACGATATGGAACAAAACAACGACCAGGAACAAATTGCTCATGACTGGTATGCAGACAACGCATAAGCAGCTTCAACCGGAGCAAAGTTTCCAGAGCAAGGTCATTGACACATTTTAATTCAAGACGCTCCTTCGACAATTCCTCAACGAATGCGGCCAGCACGGACTGCATGTCAACATCTCCGGACCCAACATGAATTGGTCGTGGTCGCGGAGATCGCTCCCGCGCCGGTACAGCAACCGGGACGGGGTGAAATTGCCAAACTGCGCGTTCAACCCACCCATCAATCCGTTCACCTTGCAACCCAGGATCAACCCTGTCCTCAACCTTAAGCCATGACCCGTTCCTCAGAAACCAAGTGGAACGAAGCCACTTGCTCCCGAATGGTGTCACAACCGCGAGTGGAGGTTTCACACGCATCAGTCTGGGTCCTTTGGCAACAACAACCGGATCATGTCCCTCATGCTCATGCAATCCTTCTTTAGATGTCAGGCCGGACCACCACAGGTCCGGGGGCATGATCGGAATGTGTGTGTACGGAAATGTGGGAACTCCGTCAACTGTTCCCGAAGCAGTCTGCATGGTCCCTTTTATGGGATCACACGTGGGTGTGAGCGCCTTGAGGGTATCCGGGTCAGACAGCAAACTCGGGTCGAGCAGACCAATCTGCAAACATGCATGTTTCCATTTGCGTCCATCATTGAACGCCTTGGTGTAGATGTCAGCCGCCATTCTGTCGGTGACTTCATACGCCAAGTACATGTAATCACGTGTGAACATCTCATGCATCCACGAAATGCAAACACCATGGCTTCTCTCAAGGTGGCGCATCGTAGGGTTTCTCCCCGACCGCACGACACCGATCATAGCCTTGTTATCGTCATAGAACACGAAGTTCGGTGACTTCTTGAGAATCCGCTGTAACAATTTAAGAGCAGGCATACCCATGGCTCTCATGGCAACATCGGCCGCAACCATTTCGGCCTCAGGAGTTGAGTGACACAACCCTGTCTTTTCGAGCTGCCAGACAACGGAAATCGCGTATTGGATCCTTGTATATTCAAGTGCCCACCAGAGGTGGAACGCAATGGTTCAACACATCCTGCAAAATCAGCGTCTGCATACAAGGCCAGGCGCACATCGTCCATGGGGTCTCCGACCCAACCGACCATGCGCCAATGTTTCGTATGATGCACATAACACATCAAATGGTGCAAACCCCGATCATCGGAGTCAGTCCACCTGTGCACATTTCGTGTCAGGCGATTCACTTGCCGCAACAAATCGAAGCGGGCAATCCGCGCACCGTACAGCAACTTCATTAGCACGCTAGCGGCATGCGGAGCAAGGTGTCCACGCACGGGCTCCTTCGTCGCCAACTCAGGAGTCCCTCCCCGTTGGTCCGGCACTGTGGCAGAACCGTCGGTGGGCACAAGATTGTTACACCAATTGCACACGACTGACGGCCCCTCTGTTGCAGGCTTCCGTGAGACGTGATTCTTTGTGTTTCTTCATGCATTTCAGGAGTGACAACCTTATTCAACTTTACATCGCCCGCCACCTCGAGATAGCGGTCGACACAGGAACGTAGGAACTGTTCCATGTCATAGGTCACCGTTGTGACGCGGTGCCCGTTCCCGAGTGTGACGTTTCCCTTGCTTTGATTACAACCAAGGTACATGTCAAGTCCAGTCTCGGGTTCAATCTTCAAACGTGTACGCAGCATGCTCCATCCCTGGGCAAGGTTCTTCTGTGGCCCTGGTTTGAAGTCATCAACATACACAACCAGAACAAGTTGGAGCTTTTCATGAATGTACACTGACGGCGTCACACACGGCATCGATGGGTATTTCTTGGCTTCGCCATTTTCTCCTATCGCGGGCAACGCGAGCGGTACTTTTCCCGAGACCACCTCAGCAGACTCCTCCCATTCGTACCAGGTAAAATCCGTTTGCGTATCATCCGCAGGATCCGTCCCCGATATCAGTTCAGCTTCGTCTCTCTGACGCCCAATGACTGACGCAACTGCCTTCGTCCAATTTGGAGTCGACCTCGATCGCTCCTCAGATTTGAACTTCCAGGCGTATATTACTACCAGACACACAAATTCTCTCTCAAGCTGAACATTTCGTCTCACGACATCTTGGGATTGCTTGGAATCCATGAGGACAACCACTCCGTCAACAGGATTTACAACTATCCTGACCCAATCAAGCTCAGCCAATTGTTTCCCATCCTGTGGGTTCTTGATCTTTGACACGTTCTTCCGCAATCACCAATTGTACTGCCATTCAACTCCACCCCAGCGGTTTCGCAGCATCGCTCGAATTCTCTTACCACCGGGCATCTGTAATGTCTGCGTCTCAGCTGGCGCAGAAATCTCAGATTCTTTACTCTTGGATCCGTCTTTCTTCTTCTTGCCACCACCCTTCACCTTGGCTTTCTCTTCCTCGGTGTAGTATTTCCTTATCATCGACAACTCATCAGGAGTGTATTCTGGAGGTCTCGTTGTCTTCATTAACCTGAAGCCGTCCTTCCCTACGGGATACGGTCTTCCGGCCTTGTCGATCTTAACCTCCCTGCCATCATCGTTGATGTACGTTATGCCATCCCCAGGTAGTCCAGCTGACACACGTGGAAGGTCGGGCTTCACAACTTCCTCATCGCCCTTGGCATGTCCATCGCCTTTCCCTCTCGAAGAGCTCGGCCTAGCATCTTCTTCTTCCGCACGACCCCCCTGATCTCCGACGGTTATTTCCGGACTTTCATCAAGCAGCAGACCAGCGATCTGATCGACCTCATCGTCAAGCAGTCGCTTTTCATCACTCTGCAATAACTCGGGCTCGTAGTCCTCATCTTCGACCAGGCGATCACGTGCGTCCAGACCGATCGCATCAACAGACATCTCAATTCCCTCCAAGGTTTCATTGGCAGCTTTGTACTTCTGTTGTATTGGGAATGTCAGAGGTGACTTGAGGATCATCCTCTCCGTCTGATGTGGCATTCTCAATCGAGGTGGAACCTTTGCCTTCTTGATGTTCAGCTCTGC